AAAGAGTCTGCAAGACATTCTTCAGGACAAGCAGATAGTGACTGCCTTTGAAATTTCCTGCTTTGTGGAAATGTCTGCTGGAAACTATGGGCCTGTAGGCCGAAGATGGATGCCCCAACGGTACAGAGGAACTTTGGGTGACTGTCCAGGCAGCGAGATATCTCTGTCATCTCTAGAGTTTTGATTTCTTGTTTGCTTAGGTAATATTATATCCTTCTGGAGTCTTTGAAGGAGTTGAAGAATAGTTAGTTATAGTTACAGTTTTCCTTAGTTGATATAGATTATTGTAATTTTTACTTGATAACTGTTTTGTTATATGTAATTTTGCTCCGTTAAAGTTAAAACCTTCTTTTATTGTTTAAACAGAAAAAGGGGAAGTGATGTGGGAGTGTCATATATCAATCTGTTGATTTCATTGTTTAAGCAATAAAGAAACTCCTTGGCCCTGATAGGTTAAAACATAGGTGGGAGGAATAAATAGAATAGAATGCTGGGAGGAAGAGGAAGTGAGCTCAGACTTGACAGCTCTGCTCTGGAGCAGAGACGCCATGCTCTGCTCTCCCGATAGCTCTGCTCTCTGAGGCACACGCGATGAAGCTCCGACCAAGGATGGATGTAGGTTAGAATCTTCCCAGTAAGCGCACCTTGGGGTGCTTACACCCATTATTAGGAATGGGCTAGTCCATGTGTGAGAATTAGCCTTGAAGGGGCTAGATAGAAATGGGCCAAGTGGCCGGGGTGCTGGGGACACAGCCCCGCCGCTCCTATTTCAACAGAAAATGGTTAAAAACAAACACACTCAAAAAAACACTGTTTCCAGTATGTACTTTTTCTTGATCTTTTCTGTTGTTTCATGTCTAGTAGGAGAAACCAACTGGTAAATTTCCCCTTAGCCTTAGGACATGACTATATTATCTCCTGGATCAAAATCATGCATGTCATCTAGAATAATCATAACATCTCCCTTCACAGCACCAACTTGTCAAGTTCACTATGTATTCCTACACATAAGACTTCAGTCTTACAATTCAATTCCCAAACAGGGAGGCATTTGTTTGATAAAAGTCTGTGGATGTTCAGTACCGTTTATTTCTTCTTGATTAAGAAGGTCTTTAGTGTCTGATATTGCAGTATTGTGATGTTTGACAGAATTCATGGAATGGTGGTAATCTAACAAATATCTTACAAATAGGGTAAATCTTCTGACCGCACAGCTCTTGAAAAGAATATCATCGTTTGTCCAATTAGTGAGACAGTACAGATCGAAAAAGTCATGAAATGAGTACTTAAGAAATCACCTTGTAAATAGAAGGTCAAAATTTGAACATGGGGAAAGTGTGACAGAGTTTTCTAAAGATAGAAAAGTATTGATACGTCAAAGACAGTTTCATAATAGGAAATTTTAAAGAAGATTTCATCATGTATCTTTTTTAGTTTCAATTCTGACATTTTTTTACATTATTTATAAGAGCTGTGCTTCCATAAAGTGCTTGTATACCCGCAGTTCATAACATAAACCCTTTGACCCCCATAATTTCCTCACTTTTCATATTAAACAGTTCTGCTTTCTTTATTTTTTGCATGTCACTTCTGTAACTCATATAAAGTCCTGAACACTTCCTCTGAATGTGCATCTGTTTGCTTTGGTCATTAAACTGACATGGAACTGTGTCAATCAGAGCTGCATGTGTGGTCTGACAGCAGACTGTGCACAAAGAGTGACTGTCACTCCTCTCTAATTACTACTAATAATGCAGTCAAAGCTTGTGGCATTTTGGCTGTCTGATCTGTCTATTGGCTCATATTTAGTGCATAAGAAACTCCAAGTGCATTCATCACTACATGCACTGGTCTTTTATATGCCTTATTGTTCACGTAGATTTTTTGCATGTAAATCACAAACTAGTTTTATTTGTATTAAGCATAATTTTACAACACTCAACTTCCTATTATATTTGTGTTTTATTTCTTTTGATTTTATTTTGTTAAGACAGGGACATGTGAATAACATTGACTGTGAACATATAGAATTGTCAAGAATAAACTGATCTACTTGCTTCCACTTCTCACATTGCTAGACTGCAGATATACGCTACATGAAGCATGTTTTATGTATTTTTATTGCTAATGCTTATATTAAATTGATATGTTGTTTATTGGGAAATAAAAAGGATACTGCACTTTCATTTTCCTACTTCCTAGACCTGAATATTCCTCAGAAACTACATTAATTAAACACTGCTTGGCCAATGGCTCAGAAATATTTCTAGCTAGCTCTTGCATCTTAAATTAACTAATTTCTAGCCATGAGGCTCATGGTTTATTATCTCTTGCTCCTTGGGTAGCTACATGGCTTTTGCCTGACTGCACCTTATTTCTCCCTGCATTCAGTTTAGTTTTTCCACCTAGTTATATTCTTCCTTGTCATAGGTCAAAGAAGCTTCTTTATTAACAAATGATAATAAAAGCATATTCACAATATGCAGAGGTGAATCCCATATCAATTTGTAATTCTCAGATTAATTATTTTCTTTATTAGTTAGAGTCTTATATCTTCATCTTTACAAGAAAAAAATAGGTTAACGTGTAGAAGACACATTCCCCATTCTGTATTCATGACTTTTGCTAAAGACTACAAAATGTTTCTGAAGTAACTTTAAAAAGATAATAAAATCTTTAAAAGGAGAAGTAAAAATACAAAAGTAAAGAACACATTAATAAAATCAAAATGAGGTATTTGAGTAAAAAATAAATAACATTGAACTAATGTTAGATAGCTCTATTGGAATCTAAATTTTCTTACAAATAAATGTCATTTATTCAAATTTTAAAAGATTAAAAAAGATACAAAGGGGGCTGGAGAGATGGATAAGCGGTTAAGAGCACTGGCTGCTCTTCCAGAGGTCCTGAATTCGATTCCTAGCAACCACATGGTGGCTCACAACCATCTGTAATGAGATCTGGTGTCTTCTTCTGGCATGCAGGCATACATGGAGGCAGAATGTTGTATACATAATAAATAAGTAAATCGTTAAAAAAAAAGATACAATGCAAAGTAGTATTGAAACCAGTCAAGCAGACTCAATAGTTTTTTTCTATATATACTTGTGTGTGTGTTTGTGTGTGTATACACACACACACACAACAATACTAATCTTAAACTATTGATGGAGGTGGGTCTTGTATCTTATCTGTTGATTTCATTGGTTAATAATAAAGAAACTGCCTCGGCCCTCATAGGACAGAAAATTAGGTAGGCGGAGTAGACAGAGGAGAATGCTGGGAAAAAGAAGCTGAGTGAGAGAGTCGCCATGATGCTCCCACTCCAGACAGACGCAGGTTAAGATCCTCTCTGGTAAGCCAGCTCATGGGCTACACAGAATATTAGAAATGGGTTAGAACAATATGTAAGAGCTAGCCAATAAGAAACTGGACCTAGCCGGGCCAGACAGTGTTTGAAAGAATACAGTTTCCGTGTAATTATTTCGGGCATAAGCTAGCCATGCGGGCGGCCGGGTGCCGGGGAGGCAGCCCTGCCGCCGCTCCTATTTCAACAAACTATCACCTTGAAAGGGACATAGGAGGCATTCAAACTAAGGGTAGTTGCCCCCAATTGGCTGGAAGGGA